TGTAGTTACTTCTGAAGTCTACTAAGTTAATTAAAAGAAATTATTTATAAATTATAAAAAAAAATTATAAGAGAATATGATACGTCTTGGTAAATAAGCAAAAAAGATTTCATCCCAAGTGCAAGATCTATTTTGAAAAAACGTGATGGTTGCTTGCACCTAGCTTGCCGGTAATTTTCTCATTCGTTAATATTAAACACTTGTATTTCACTATTTCAAACACTAACGGTTAAACTTCAATATTTGTAGCTATTATATAGAACATCAACATTTGTAAATATTGAACTTCAATATATAAATACTGTTGAAATTTTAAAATATTGGTGTAAATAAATAGCAGTTCAAGTGAAATTATGATTTTTACTTTAAAATGAAATCATGTCCGCTTTTGATTTAATTTTATTTTCGTAAAACTCAAAAGATTTGAATTAAACTTTTGCAAACATGTTTTTCATGCTGGAAAAAAATCAAATGCTTTGTAAAGAATTTCATACAGGGAAGAGTAAGCCCAAGATCTTACTACGGCTTTGATAAAGTCATGCGTAGCCTCAATGACTGTTATCAGTATTATTGAAAATGCAAGTATAGCCGATCCAACCACACTTGGGGATAGCAAACGTGCGGGTTGGGTCGAATATGAGCGAGTCGAAAATGAGTAATGCAAAAACGAATAAATTATCAGGACAGACTCATATTTAATACGGATAAAAATGAATTAATCGACGGATAGTATGAATATTCATATTATCCAAGGCTTCTTGAATATGATCAGAGAATTCTTACTCTCTCAAATATGAGGAACGCATCTAAGGTTTTACAAACGTAAAATTTTAATCTATTAGCTATCCATTTGGTTATTCATTTTCTAAGTGTGTAGTATGGTTCTTATCTATATTGGAACCGTTTTTAAGAAGTTCATTATCAACACATTTTTAATGAATAATATGGGTAGATAACTATTTTTTCAATCAATTTTACCACCACTAACCACACTAAAGGAAATGTATGCAACCTTTCAGTGCCTTATATCTTGTACTCTAGCTATTTCAGTCCATCAGCCATATGTGATAACTAAACGTCTAATAGCTCATTTGGCCAAACTGTAAAAATCAGCTTATTTTGAGAAGTACTTTTTTTAAAAGTGCTTTTCTCAAAAGTACTTTTGGTGAGAAGCAGTTTCTATTTTGCTAATTAATTTGAAAAGCACTTCTGAGTAGCAATTAGTGTTTGGCCAAGCTTTAAAAAACTGCTTCTAAGTGTATTTTTCTCAAAAGTGCTTCTCAAAAAAGTGTTTTTGGAGAGAAGCTACTTTTTTCTGCTTCTCCAAAACTGCTTCTGTTTCTCCTCAAAAGCACTTTTTTTCTTTCCAAAAGCTTGGTCAAAAGTACTTTTGGCAAAAAAAAAACACTTTTGGCCAAAAATAAGTTTGGCCAAACGGGCTATAAACCTGATCCATAACATGTTGGGCCTTTAAATCCAACGTGGACTGGAACCACAGAGCTCATATACCAACATTTGTAGTGTAAGTTACACATTTGGCCCGTCGGCCTAAAATAATTATCTTTTCTAGCTAAATATATGATAAAATATGTATATTGTTATGAATAGTTTGTACATTGGATACTACTTTGGATACTACATTGGATGCACATGTTGTGAATAACTTAAAGATTAAATTTCTTATTTTATGTCCATCATCTTTACTTTTTATGCCTATAAAAGGCCATGTAATTGCACTGGAAAAATACACCAAAGTGAAAGAAGAAAACACTTCTCCCTTCTTTCTATCTCTTCTTATTTACATTTTACTGCATTACTTTTATTTTATAACACGTTATCAGCACGAAGCTCTAATTTTGTTCTTAACTCCCGCTAAGTTGAGCCATATTTTATTAAGATATGTATCATTATAATCATCTTATTTATGGCAGTACATATCATATGCTCACTGTTTGCAGATTACTTGTGCGTTTGGGCATCTTAAATAGTTTAAGTACATTGCAGTGATTAAATAACTACTTCCTTCCGTGCTCAACTCTTAGAGGACCTCAAAGTCATCAAACTAGCTATGCACTAATGTCATGGACTCCCTGGATCAAAACATATCTTTAAGGCATTTTGAAGAACTGTGAGAAATGAATTGACAGGCAATAATTTTTTTTAATTACTTTATATTTATTGGAACATATAAATAATGTTAGTCACGTTCAATTCTATTAACACATATATATCAATAATATAAAGTGAAATGAAACAAGTATGTAATTTCTACTTTATGGCAAGAATAAAATGAAATAGTAGATTGTTAACATGATATAGCTCTATTTTCATTTCTTTTACCTTAATCGTTTTGTTTTCATTAATTGTTTATTATTATAATTATTTCTCTAACTTATTCATCTTTTATGATAGTTTTCACTATGTCAAATTTATCAAAACTTGAATTTGTGGCAGTTGACATTACCGGAAGGAACTATTTATCATGGGTTCTTGATGCTGAAATTCACCTTGACGCTAAAGGTCTTGGAAATACTATTATACAAGGAAATGAAGCATCAAATCAGGATAAAGCGAAGGCCATGATTTTCCTTCGTCATCATCTACATTAAGGGTTGAAAACTGAATATTTAACCGTAAAAGATCCACTTGAATTATGGATTAATTTGAAGGATCGATATGACCACCTAAAACTTA